ATACTCCGTGGAGCAATCTGGGACGCCAGATTGTGCACCTGCATTGTACAGAGTGAAGATGTCAGTCCTGAGGTTGCTTTAAATGCTTGAAGTAGCCTGTGAGTCTAATCTACACAATGGCAGGTGAATCTACTGCTTCAGGCATCGGGTTTCAGGTGTCAATATTTGGATCATCCTCCTCTCCTTCAAGATCTTCCCTAGAATATTAATGGCTTTGTCAACTATAGTTGACATCTCAATTCCGTGTGTGGCGTTGTTGCCATCGGCAACACGCGCTCCTGCGGACTCGCAGGGTACGTTGTGCGACCCAATATGGTACCGGAAGAGCCATACTCCTTCGGGACAGGCTAATGGAGCGTACGGCACTAGATGGTGGCCAGTTTCCCAGGTGATAGGCCTTCTCCGCTCCTACGGGGCTACCGGAACAATGGTGCCCCGATCTAACAGGCGATGTGCTTTCCGGACCAAGAGGTCGTATGGTGACTTTCGAGTCCTAAAGTGCTCAGTGGGGAGCTTGGATATGAGCGTTGATCAGTGTCAGTTCATGCTTTGATAGCATCTTGGCTTGCATTTCAGCTTGCAGCTTTACTTGTGATAGTTGCGTATCCAGCATGCAGTACCCTGTCAGGGATGGGGTTTTTTCAGTTTGTCAACCGAGCTATGGTCATTTTTTCTCGCTCTCTCTCTCTCCCCTGTTATCTTTTTCTGGTCGTCTGTGAGCCGAGCTATCGTTTTCTTTTCTCGCTCACTTCCCTCCTCTCCCTGACGACTGCGACCACCATGCAGGTCCGAGTCTGGATGACAATTTCACTGTGCCAGGAAGCTGCAATTTTTCCCCCCTGTACTCAGGGTGTGTGTGTGTGTGTGTGTGTGTTTATTCTTGGGATTTGGTGAGGACCTGTTGACTGCTCACACTTTCAGAAGCCGGGGGCAGCAGGGAGTCCACAGTTCTGCTGCCAACGAAGACGGCTGTGGATACTCCGTGAAGCAATCTGGGACAACCGCAGCCACGCCCACAACCAGAAGCACAACCACAAGCACACACACGGACACACAGAGATGGAGACATAGACAGGGGCTGAGACAAAGACTGACTCTGACACACAAACACACGGAATTGAGATGTCAACCATACAGTTGACAAAGCCATTAATATTCCAGGGAAGATCTTGAAGGAGAGGAGGATGATCCAAATATTGACACCTGAAACACGATGCCTGGAGCAGTAGATTCACCTGCCATTGTGTAGATTAGACTCACAGGCTACTTCAAGCATCTCAAGCAACCTCGGAACTGACATCGGCTTCACTCTGCACACTGCAGGTGCGCAATCTGGCGTCGTCGTTGTCGCTGGCGTTGCGGCGGTTGCACTTGCGGTTGCTGTGGGTGTGAGTGCGCGTGTGCGCCTGAGTGTGACTGATCGGCGTGTGCGTCCATTGTTATTGTTTTCTTAGTTATTGTGTTTTGCTGCTGTTCTTGTTGTTGTTGTTGTTGTTGCTGGTTGTTGTTTTAGTTCTTCTATTGTTATTGTTCATATTATTGTTTTTGTTGCTGCTCCTCTTCTTGCTATTTTATTATTGTTTTTGCTTTTGCTCTTGCTGTTGCTGTTGCTGTTGGGCCACGTGCATCCATGCACCGGTTATGCCGTCGCAATGTGATTTGTTGGCTAAATGGATGGTGTTCTTTGGCTCCACTGACGTGACTATCGCACTTCAATGAGGGTCGATAATTTCGCCAAGCATGTGAAACCGAGTATGTCTGGGCAGGCATTTCAGCATGCATCAGCTCAAAGAGGTGGAACGACCTGAATGCTGGATGTTCGCCCCTGAGCTGGTTGGCGACCACCTTGTGGCAGTATACAGAGGGCCCGCCAATGCTGGCAGCATCCCCAACCCCAGCGCAAATGGTGTGGTGTTCACGGGCGTGCCATTGCTGTACTGACCTTGTTGCACCACCCGGGATTGTCTCTCGGAAGACGCTGCATCCTTCCGTGAACCCGCACTAGGTTGTCTGGAAGTCCGCACTTGGTTATACGTGATATGGGGTTGGCTATCGCGACATCCGGTCTCAGGGGCCAGTGCGGACGTTGAGGTTCGTTGATATTTTTGATGTCATTGAACCGGCCATGGCGACGCACGAGTCTGTTCCTTCCAGTACTGCAACTGCTCCCTCAATTTTCCGGTGTGGACTGTAATTTACCGTCTTTACAAGCCAATGTACTCCATCATGAAAAACACCGCGCCACAAACCCCACGAGCGGAAACAATTAAATCATGTCTTCCTATTGCTTCTTGCGCGGCTGCAGCAGATTGGGCGCGCTCGCACTCGCGAGATCCGCAGCGGCACCCACAAAAAAAACGCGTCCGGAGTTATAGGTGCCCTTAGCAGCGGCAGCATGGTCCAAACGCCAGATGCGGAGCTGGCGACCGCTCGCTGCAGAGCGGCCGGCAACAACACATCACTAGCGGTGGCGACCACCGCAGCAGTGCGCACATGTGCAAGGAGGCGATGCGTGATGCACTTGCAGATGGCGCACAAGGCAATGCGCTGTTTTGCGTCCTCGCGCATCTACGACTCTACGACTGCGTGAAGCCATGCCCGGCACCTTGCGCGCTGTTTTGCGAAAGGATGCTGCGCTCTACGATTTCATTGGTTTTCATGTTTTTGGTGGCGGGCCACCCTACACTGCTCTGCTGACGTGCGCGCGTCTACGTCATAAAAACGTGGGTTATACCAGGCTCGCAAGTCCTGTCTGGGGTTACACATCCAGACACAATGTCGCCACACCTGCGGCGACGGCGAACCGATACATCCCAAATTAACAACACTATACCTGCGGCACACATTGCCAAACGGATGTTGATGTGTAACGGGACGCTCGGCCGGGTGGTGCTCCAATTGGAGGAGGCGATGACGCTTTCCGGGCCCCTTTGCGCAACCGGCAGGGATGGCACCTTATGGCATGGCCCTGCCACCGCAAGAGGTCGCTTACTCATTCGTTCACTCGCTCATGGACTCTTGATGTCAGCAGTCTTGACTCATGTTGATTCCGTCGCCCTCCCCACGCATAAGAACCATCATGAAACAGTCATCAACCAAACGTGCTCGTGCACGGTCATTGGCGGGCAAGGCCATATCATGGTGGAGCGGTATCAGGTGTAGTGCAATTAGTGCACAGGAGTGCTTGGATTTCCGCGTGTTGACATCAGCAGTATTTGGGATCGTGGCGGAACGGGGAATATTGTGTTCCTTCCACATGCGATGACTCTCCTTTAGCTACACGGTGCATTAAAACGACGCAACATCGTATGACATCATGCAAATGTGTGTGAGTTCCAATGTTTCGTATCATGATGTCCGAGCAAGTTGCAAACCATGTCATCGTGCCAAAGAACTCTGAAATAAATCGTGCCACCACCATGTGGCAGCACATGCACAGCGGTACTCGCGGAGAAGCAACACAGCAACACACGGCCCTTCGATTCGCAAATACACGACGGCATATGCAGGCGGCGTTATGCTTGAGATCTGGCATATGGGCATCTGGCGCGTGTCAATATGCTCGAGCCCGACCCGAGGTTTCATCAAGCTCACAGCAAGCGCAGCCTCAAGATATAGTCCGAAGTTCAAAAGCCGTGGCACGCAGGAGAACCATGTAGAATTTCCAGCAAAGGTATAGCCGAGGTGCGGATTGGGGTGTGATTCCACTGTTGTTTGCGCCATGCTGCGGGTTGCCGAGCCGCGCAAACGAGCCGCCCGCCGGTGCTGCGAACGGCAGCCACCTCCGCCTGGGCAAGACGGTGGTGGGCTTCGGCTGTCGCGCAGGCCGTGACCAGCCCGGCCCTCGGCAGCCCGTGGCCCAGTCCGCTACACGCAAGCGAGCGGCCGGATCCAGAGCTCCACTGTGTGCTTAATTGCTTCACCTCGCCGATGATACGGGGCCAGGCCGGTTGCTGCTGCGCTAGGTTCGCCGAGAGTAGCATGTGTAGTCAGACCTCATCCAGGCGGAAAAGTCCGGCGGGCAACACAAACAAGAATATGTTGTTCGCTAACAGCCTTTGGATATCATGCTGCTTCCAAGGTCCAATCGAGATTTATCATGTCATCCCATGTTCTTGGTTTCTGCAGCGGGAAGAGCAAAAACATGCCCAAGCTCAACTGAGGACGAGCATCAAGTTTTCCAAGATTCCGAGATGAAAAAGAAGAGCTGTTCAAATAATTACAAGAACACTTCTTGGATTGTTGGCCGAGACCAAATACCAGTAGTTCTAATCGTACGGATTTTCAAGCGCGTGCATCATTATGCAACAGTACGACATGCGTTGACATAACCAATAATCATTATAACCGGTTCCAGGTTCCGCATCTTCGCCTAACTTTGTTTTGTTGTCCATCCGACGGCACAACTGGTAGTTGCTCCCGATGCCACGCGATTGAACGGTTGGGAGCATGCTGGGAGCCATCCTGCGGCCAACGCATTCAAGCGCAAAAGTTGATGTTGAAGCATGTTGTTTCAACACTTAGCTGAATCCTTTGCATCCGTGTGAGCTTGTGCTCATATTGATGGCATGTTCTCGTTCTTCGGCGCCTCCGTTGCTGAACGTCCATATTGACATTAGAAAAACGAAAAGTTCCAACAAAATACATCCAGAGCACAAAGGGATTTGGTCCAGCAAATGGCCGTGTAATTGCAGATTCCCGTTCCACAGCCGTTGAGGGTGTACTGTACAAATGTCCTGGAATGGGCTGCCCACGGAAAGCCATTGCAGTTCACGATGCAGCTTTGGCTGAAGCGGCTGGATTCGCTGTCGCAAGTTAGCAGACAGATGACAGATCGGTTAGCCTGCGCTAATGCGTGCACCGCAAGATATTGCCGAATTTTTGGCCGCAGAAGCAGTCCTAACGTTTAACACAAGCCCCACACAATACTTCGGGTCCGCGACCGGACATGCAGCGGCACGCAAAAAAAGAAGCCTTGGTCGTAGTTGGTCGTATTAACCATGGCGGATGATGCGGAAGCCGCCGAGGTGGAAGCATCCAGGCAGGAGGTCCTTGGACAGTCACATCTGCAGGTTTAGCAGTGTATAGCCGTGCCCATCGCCGTTACTGTAACCGGGTTTCTGAAGCCGAGCATGCGTGCCCTGAAGTTTTGCAGCACCCGCTTTTCAGCCATGGGGACTCGGGTTGAAACAGCACTCACCTCAAGCTGTTATTCACGGTTCATGTAAAGCGATTGGTGTAATTTGCTGTATGCAGGTACCGCCAAGCCTTTGAGGCCGTTATGAAGCGTATCCTGAAGGACCTATCTGGACCCATGCGATGTTGTGCTTGGATTCGTTGCCTAGTCGAAGCTTTTGGTTCTCGGTTGTGATTCGGGGACCCACGAGGACTACCAAGGAACGGAGGCGGAAGTGAAGGACGGGAGCCTTGGTGGCACAATATCCGTGGTGGATATCCCCCAGTGCAAAGCCTAAAAGCAAACATGCAAGACAAATATGTTTTCCAAGGATGGAAAGTGGGATGCGTCGCCTGTTTGCCCAACCTTATCCAGCTGAACTGGGCCGAGCGCAAGGCCCGCTGCATTAAATTGCGCAGTCCGATCCCATTCTTAGTATAGCTTGTTGTCATTGAATGTAATTGATGCCAGGCACGGAGCCGTTCAGCTTGGAAGACGCACGTCGCGTCGTGTTTTTTCCATCCTTGTGCCATGGCTGGGAATTTGAGCAGTCGCTTGCTGTGTGAGTGACATGTGACACCTTTGTTGTTGCATACGCATGTTGCTTGGTAGCGCGGTTCGGCCCGGCAAAGCTGGGGCTAGAGCCACTGGATACCTTGAGGTGCGCGCAGGGTTGGGACGGAACTAAACGGTGGGGGCGTGGGCCTGGGCTGGTGGGGCCAGGCACAAGTCCCCGCTCTCCCGCGTCAGGATTCCGACTCGATTCGGTGGAAGGACAACGGGAGAGGAACCTGTGGATGCTGGGCCGGGCGCAGGAAACAGACGTGAACGAACGTATTCACAGCGAGTGAAGCTGAGCCGAGGTCCGACATGAAGGCCAGCTTTCCGAAGAATTTGCGCACGTTGGCCATGTTTTTGTGGTGTCGTGTCTTCCCAGATGTCGAGCAGGCATGCACCGACAACTTGAGGCTACCATCATAAGAGTCGCCGGGTGTTGAAGATATTGGCTTGACATGTGCATCTTGCGTGCAGCATGGCAGACCTATGTCCACGCCTTTGCGCGCCCGACGCCGTCATCAGCGAGAAAGGCACCACATCACCAAACAGCATTGTGTTCTTGCTGAATCCCAAGAATGCATGAGGAGCAGCTGATGAAATTCAAGCTGCTGAGCGTGTTCTACACGCTGCACCGCTTGGACGGCCCCGTGCTGAACATCACATCCTTTTTGTGGTGACAGACGTCGAGGGATGTATGGTGAAACAAGATAGAACGCATTGAGATGCTGCTGAGAAATAAAAGAGTCCGGGCACCTTATATTGTCTGTTTAATGTGGGCTTTCCGTTGAGGTGCGCTGGTGGATCGCTTTATGCATGCCGGTGGCCTGCTCTCACTGGTGAGTTTGCTTGGGGAGGCCACTATATCGCATTTGGCATCGGTTTGCAAGCCCGATCTGCTCGAGTTTACCCTTCGTCAAGAGTTTCTGTTTCGTGCTGCTGCAGCAGAAACTCATAAGGGACCCGGTCCTGCAAAAAACACCGCGGGTAGAATTACCCGCTTCCGTCCGGCACAGAGCAGCCTTTCACCGGACCATGTTGTATCATTGGACTATAGAGCTTCGGCCCCATGTTTTTATCAGATTTGCAACACTCAACCCTAAGCCCGTACAAGTGCCGCCATTCTGCGGACCCAGTTCTCGACATCCCTCTGTCAGTGCTGCAGTTGCTAACTTTGGCTTACAAGCCAGTTTCCGAGACTATGCTACCCGAGAGACGGGTGCACAAACCAGCACAAAGCCTTAAACGTAAAGGCTCCAACCTCCAAACCGAAGGCCCTTTTCCGCCTTATCCCAACACGTTCTTTACCCATGCCCAGGACAACCCTTACATCCAGTCGCAATCCATGGAGCTGCTTCTCGGTAGGGTTTGGCAAGGGGTGGAGGAAGAGAGAGGGCGGGCGAGGGAGGCACGACAAATCCAGTCGCAGTAGTTTTCTTAATTATTTAGTTGTCGTTGAAGCATGAAGTAAACAATTTCTTAAAGTGAGAGACACAACACAATGGAGCCGACAACGTGTTGCCTTTAATGAATGGCACTTTCATTTAGGTCGTTTGGCTTTCTATGATGATTCAGAGTTTGTACTCGGAATGTCACAGTAGCTGATTTGGATTGGGTTCATTTGGCCAATGAACAGCGGGGCGGGAGGGAGGGAGGGAGGGAGGGCAGGGGAGGGAGAGGGAAAGCCATTGAAACCCCAAACCGCGAACAAACATCCCTGTTCAAAACGCACCTATTAGCAGAATGAAGTTTCAGTTCAAGTCCAGTGGGTAGGACTTCGGGTGGCGATGAGCACAGGTTGACGGATTTCCTCGGACCCCTGATGACTTCTTCGGCTGCGGGTTCCATGCGACAGGCGGGCTTTGCGCTGAGGAGCCGGGTGTTTTGTGTTTCGGTTTCGGGCTTAAGCTTAGGGTGTATAATCTATAATCGTTATAACCCTGAACCCCTCAATTGCTGAACCCTTAAACTTTTAAACCCTGTAGGGGCATTTGAGGGTTTAGTGTTTGCAGGAACAGTGTGTCAGTGTTGTTATGCAGGAGTGTTTGGCTCCCATGAGTCCATGGGGAAGCCTGTGACTTAAGGCATGCAGCCAACCAAAACTTTATTCAAATCGTAAACTTCATCTTCCAGTATTTTGAACACAGATCTTAGACAGCTCGAAAAGACGGAGCTGGAACGTAAGCAAGGGTATTTTGGCCCCAAGCCGATCGACGCAACCCTGAACTCGAAGCCCTTAGCCTGTGCACGGTAGCTGTGGGAAGGCGCATCTGCACCAGCAGATGTACCTTTGCAGCTCGGCACAGAACCAGGTCAGAAGTTTCGAAAGCCCCAACATGGATGGGGTGTGGGGGGGGGGTTTAGGGTTTAGGGTTTAGAGTTTAGGGGGGGCCTTGAGGCTTGTTTAGAGGGTTGAGTGCAGCGGGGACTCAGAAGTTGCAAGCCCTTCCTTCCGGGCATATCGGACAGACCATTTTGACGAGCTCTAGTCATGATTGTCACCATCCAAAGAGCCTGCCTAAACCCCCAAAGTAGGTAAAATAATGGCCCAAAACCTCTAAACGGCTATTATTCAATTCTACATACTGTTGGGGTCCAAGTGAATCCTAACGCTTGGAAGCGCAGTGAATGTTCAACGGTTTGACGGTCTCGGTTTAAACCAAGGATACAGGATAGGGCTTCCAGGGTTTGGAGACTGGACGGTTGTGCTTCGTGTTTGAGCCTGTGGCTTTTCTGAGTTTGTCCAAAGTTGCCAGATCATGCAGCCGATCGGTAAGCACCCTTAACGACACAAATCATGGCAACTGGTCGTATTGTCAATCAAGGACAATGAGGGCTTTTGTCCGTTTCATCAATATCCGGCACTGCGGCCCTCCATATTTTGCCTCGTCGAAGGTTTCAATACGAGCTGAGGCTTAATTCGATTGAAGGCTTCAAGATTGTAGGTTGCTCCAGGGTACCCCCATGCGTCCAAGAACTCCAGGGTTTTGCGTTGCTTTGGGGTGGCGAATTCGCGAGGTCTGAAGGCAGGTGCGCTCTTCCAGCGTGCTGCTGACATCCTCAACCAGCCGGGGGAGGCTTCGGCGGAAGCACTTACCCTAAGGCCCCATGTGCCCAAATAGTATATACTTTGGCCTTAGCCTTAATGTAGTCCCTTTATAGGTACTTTAGGGCCAATGTATATACTATTTGGGTACATGGAGCCTTAGGGTTAAGGGTCTAGTCACTAAGGTGACCTTAAGAAAGACTTTGGAGCGCAGTCGCGCGACAGTCGAACACGAAGAACTTTTCTGGCCGGGGGGGTTGGTCAATGAGGTTGGAAGCTGCTGCGGCTGTTAAGCGAGTGAATGTCTGCAGCCTCAAGTCTAACCATGAAAGAAGATGACACGCCTCAAACCCCAAAGCCAAAGCCGAAACTTGTCAATTACCCTAAGCCTTGGGACTCTACACCACCCCATTTTCGTCACGGGGACTCGAAATCACGGGTAGCTCCTGTGGTGCTTGTAATAAGAAGCCTGCTTTTCGGGACGCGCAACTTATATTTGTCCTAGCTCCCTGATTTGCAACCCTCCTCCCTTCGCAATCTCGCATGGGGTTGAAACACTGGCAAAGTCATTTTAATTATGTCAACAAAGCCCTTACGGAAGCCTTGACTTGACTGTTGTAGTGCCCTTATTCGGCCCGAACCCGCTCATAAAACCCTGATAGAACCTATAGACCCTACAATGGAAATGCCTTGATTGTCGAGCCTTTTTGTTTTATAATCTATTTATGGTTTGGATCCAATAACTTGGGTATCCAAAAAAGTTTTACGGTCTAGAGTCTAGGTCAGTATACTACCTTAACCATTAATTTTTTTTCAGTTTGTGTCGGAAAAGTCAGGTCTTTCCTCGAAGCTACGCCAGCAGCATCCGGCTGTTGGCAGGACTCGGGTGTCTTGGGTTTTTGGAGTTTTAGATCATTTTTTGCGGTTCTGGGGACATGACAAGTTTGGGGTGCAAGAGTTGGGGTGAAGGTTTGGAGGTGTGGCCCAAGATACAGGATTTAAGAATTGCAGTGCTAAGGGTAGCACAGGCTGATTCGGTATTAGCTTTGCTTTTCTGTTCATTTCCTGGCCCTCCACGACCCTTTCCTGACAAAGGTTGCAGCTCAAGGCCCGAGCTGATATCTTGCACCAAGCATAGGTAGCTAGGTTTCGTTTTTCGGGTGTGGGCTAATTTCTCGGTTTCGGATTTTCAGGTCCAGCTGGCTAGCGGCTTAGCGCGCTTGTAGTATGCAGTGTAAGCCACAGTGAATGGTGGCGGGGTGGGCTCAGGGGTAGGGTGCGAGGTTTTTGGAGTTGTCAAGGCTTCGGCTCATGCCCATCTTTAGCCTCCGAAAGCGACTCAAACACATGGCAAGCACATATCACGGCCACGCCATTGGCCGTTGCACCTTCTGACTCGAAGAGGAGCTATCGGTTGGCTACGGCCAATGGGCGATGACGTCCCTGAGGTGGATGTTGGAACAGGAGAGTAGAATCTAGAAGTCTGAGTGAAATTGGGTGAATAATGTGGGGGCCGCCTGAATAATTACCAAGACTGTTTTTTTTTTGTTTGGGGGGGGGGTCCGTAATATAACTATATATAGCTATACCCCAAAACCTCTAATTGTTAACCCCTAACTTATACGATCATACAGTGCTCAGGGCTTAAAATTACTGAAGCACTGAGCTCCATCATCAACTCTCAGCCCCTCAACCCTACTGTGCCTTACCCCGACTGAGGCTGGTTTGCGGCTCTTCGCTTCAAGGATTGGCTCGGGCTCAGGTGGTCCTAAACCCAAGGTCAGGAGAATACGCAGCTTCAGTCTTCCTAGCACCTCTTTGTGTCGGTTCATGTCGGTTCTGAAGTTAGGTCGCAGGCTGTGGGCTGGCAGCTCTGGCAAGGTTTCTAGGTCTACCCTAAGGGCCCAAGTACTTGACAATCACATCATCTCCGAACTACGAACCTACATAACCACTATCGGAAAGCCGAGTACCCGACTGCTGGGCCCTTTCGGCCCGCAGGCTCCTTTAAGGGTCCCTTTAATTTTGGGTTTAGGGTTGGGTACTTCAAGCCGAAAGTCCCAAATTCAGCCTGAAAGCGCTACCCGCTGGTGCGAAGGCCACATGGTTTCGGGAGCCGTTTTCTTCGTAGCTGAGGGGCTAAACTTAAGCCTCTCCGGGTGCACATGGTAGCCTCCTAATTAAAGTAGGTCTTAGGGCACTTGTTGATAAGGATGCCGTACTATCCTGGGGGACCTAGAATGGGACCCTATAGTTGAGCTTTCCATAGCTCAAGAGTTGAATTTTGCAGCCAGGGGCACTCAGCACCTATGTTGCGCATTCCAGCGAGCTGGCTCCAGCTTGTGCAAGGTCTCTCCCTTCAGCCGTGGGTCATTGCAGCAACATTGCTTCATTATTGAGTCATTGTTGGATCATTGTGAGTCAGCATTGAGTCATTGTTGTGTCGTTTCAAGCAGTGAAGGAACGCCTTTGTAACGCAAAACGCCGCGAAACAACCCAAGGAACGCGGCTTGGTTTGAAACTCGAATCGTCGCAGAGGTCGCTTTCTTACCGCAAAATGCTGCGAAACAACCCAAATCAAAGATTAAAGAGCCCGGCTTTGTTTGAAACTTCGAAACGCCGCGGAGGTCGGCTTCGTACCGCAAAACGCTGCGAAACAACCCAAAGAATGCGGCTTGGTTCGAAGCTTCGAAGAGGTCGCTTTCATGCCGCAAAACGGTGTGAAACAATCCAATGAACGCGGCATGGTTTGAAACGTCGAAGAGGTCGACCGCTCTCATGCCGAAACGACCCCAAAGAACGCGGCCTGGATTGAGACTTCGAAACGTCGAAGAGATCGCTTTCATGCCGCAAAACGCAGCGAAACACACGTGAAGAACACAGCTTGCAACTTCAAGCGTTGCGAAGCTTGTTTTGCAAAGCGCGTTCTCATGCCACAAAAATGCGGCGGAAGCAAGTCTGAAGAACGAACTTCGGACCAAGGCAAGCCTTCTGCTTGCAACAATTCCCTGGGGGTCCGGTTCCTTAAATAATGGGTTGCGCGGCTACGATTTAGAAAGCCCAGAGCCCTACAGATTCCACACCTTCGGGGTTCTTGTTTAGGGATTTAATTTAATTTAAGGTACCATACTAAGCAAAACATATTAATTGTTCGATAGATCCCTATCATGGTAAGCTGAAAACAAATCCCGTCAAAAGAACCCAGTTCAGGCCACCGTGCCTCCTGAGGCCGCCCGTTCTTTTAGCACTGGGAGCGCAGGGGAGGGCAAAGGTACATCGATGTCGGTACCCATAGGCTCCACTGTAGTTCCTTTTCGGGATTGCCCTATAGGATCCTCAATATAAACCACAAAAAGGAACTGCAATGTAGCCTATAGGTAGTTGCTAGATGTGACAATGCTTGTAAGGCACAAACTGTCTGCGCCAAGGCCTAAACCCTAAATCCTGCCCTGAATCCTGGACCTTAAGTAGCCCTGATCCTCTGTCCTGTAGGACTCCACGGGTTCAGGGCTGACTCCTAGCCACAATGGAAATGCACGGGCAACTAGCAGTGTTTGTTAAAGCCTCCAAGTGAACTTTTTCACAGTACCCGAAAGCAGCATTAGTCTAACGATGCTGACATAGGTGGTCATGATGACGTAACTACACTCGACCTTTACAGCTATGCTTTCACCTCCTATTCCTTCTCGACAACCTTCTTTTCCTTGTTCACCACTGTACCTCGAATACATATTAACCAGCCATGATGTCTTCCCATGTATGATTACAGTTGAGCCCTTGTTCCTACATGCGAGTGGCTGTGCAGGCATGGGCTTATGAACACAGTCGATTAGACAAACTTGCATGTACCTATAATTAGCGAACAGAACATGTGCATACGTTTATTTATGAGCGTGTTCCATCCACGCATACCTGCATAGAGCTGCATACAAAGAAACAAACATACATACATACATGAGTGCATAATGACCCTCGTGCCGACAACATCGAGCAGACCTCCCGTATGCATAGAACACTCATCATACAAGCGTCACATGTGCCCCTTCTGTCTGTTTGTCTGCCTGTCTGTGTGCATGTATGCATTTATTGCAAGCATGTATGAATGCCTGCGTGCTTTGACTCATGCCTGATGCATGCATGTACGTGTGTCTTTGCGTTGCACATATACATGCATACATTCATATGTAGTTCATACATACCTTCATACCTACCTACCTACCTACCTACCTACCTACATACATACATACATACATACATGCATACACACATGTATGCATGTTTGCCCGTTCGTGTGCCTCTGTCTCTGTGTGGCATTTGCAGCTGCATTCACGTGATATGCATCTCCATCTCTTGTGTTCAACGTTGTTCTATCTATAAACTTGTCTGCTTCTTCGTCCGAAGAGTCTAGATACATACTAACCTGCAGGCAGCAGCGGCGGTGGCGGCTCTTCAGCATTGCATCGGCCAGTCCCAGGCGACAAAAGCTCACCGCCTTCCCCATGTAGTCCCTATAAGCCCTCGAGTTTGATCCTTACTAAACCCCTAACTGCCATACTCCCTTGGTGTCTAAGTCCCTATGGGCCCTGAACCTCTGGGGCCTAAACCCTACAACGCGGGCATTCGCTGGATTGTTCTGTCTTTTTTCTTTCCGTGGAAATACCCCCGTCGGGCAAACTTTCGGATTCGTAATGAATTCCACAGTCTGCAGTAGATTGGAAGGACCACTTACAATACCTTTGGCATCCCGCCTGTTCATCGCTAGATGGCTAGATGCGTAAGTATGTTAGCGGAGCCTGAGTTTGATGTCCCTTCAATGGTCCTGTGTCTGTGACTTGAGCCCAGTGTCCTGAACTAGGCAAGCTCTTGAAGCCAGCACGTTGGTGGAAGCAAGATGAGCCCAGCTTAGAAGGTTCTTACGTCTAGTGCCCAGGGTCGTTGTGTGATGTCATGCTTCCAGCAGAGAAGTCGGTTTCACGCAATCTTCCGACCTAAAGCCACATGCCTCGCCTTGACTGTCCGAG